GGGGGGGGGGGGGGGGTTATGGGGGATTGTGATGCTGATGTAAAACATGACTACTCTGGTTCATCTTGTAGAATTAGATGTTTCTTGGTCAACTTTATAAATATTCATAATAAACTTTACACCGGTTTTCTTAAAGCGTTTATTTTTACAAAATGACTTACCGATGAGTGTTAGGCTTGCACCTGTGTCTAAAGGGTCTCTTTGTGAATGTGGTATGCCTGACACGTCGACAGTAATGAGACATCAAATTTGAAATATCTTAATTTGAATTAGTTGCGATATGTCTAATTCAGTGCGTAAGATCCCGCAAGCTTTTGGCTTCCTGGATTCGGATCCGCAAAAATATGCGGAACCACGGATCCAGATCCAAGTAGTAAAATATCAACCAAAATCTGCAAAAAAAAAAATATTTTTACTCCTAAAACCCAAATCTGAACTTTAAAAAAAGATTTTATAAAAATTTCCTCATTTCCGAATGGTTCATCAAGTTTTAGGATATAAATAAGCGGATAAAAATAAAACAAAAATTTAAAAATTATTTTTTGTTAAAAAAAATTCATTAAATCTTAAAGAAATGATCTGGATCCGGATCCATTTTTTTCCAGTGCGGATCCGGATTCGCATCAAAATTAAATGGATCCTAAGCACTGGACCCTAATTACTCTAAAAATTTATCATTTTTAATTAAATTTTTGTGTTTAGTTTAACAAGGTTGCTGCGGATAGAGCAAAGGAGGATATTAAGGCAGCCATGACTGCTCTAAACTCTCACCTTCTCACCAGAACCTTCTTGGTATTATATTTATATTTTCTCATTCACCTATTTGGTGAAATCTTGACTTTTTGAATGAATGTTAGTTGTGTAGCAGAACTACTCGCTGCTGGATCAAATTTGAGTCACCAATTCAAAGTTAAAGATAAATAAATGAGTCGGATCGCTTAAATATAGCCTACAACCACTGATTCAAATTTGGAACAATCTTTGTTAAAAAAAAAAAAAACAATTTAGTTATTTATTTTCAAACTTCTTTTCATGGAATTTTACTGAACTAAGATTTATGAAACACGTGTATAACTAATAACTATTGCTTGCTAAAATGTTGTCAATTGAAATTATAAAAAAAGGAACTTTCCTGAATGATGAAATTGTTTTGTACGTCAGTCTGATGGGTGCCTCACGGTAACCCGTACATATAAAGACCTGAATGAAAAATGCTACCCTGACCAATACAAAACTAAGTGTTAATAATCTAATTTATGTTGTTAATCGTTGACGGTGTCTATTTTAAAAGGTTGGAGAGCGGTTAACCGTTGCCGATATTTCTGTAGCTTGCACCATGCTCAATCTATACAAACTGGTTCTAGATCCTGCCTTCAGGTAAAAAATAAGCAATATTTTTGTTTTACAAAAAACTTCTGTTCATTCGTAATTTCAGCTTATCAGTCTCTCTTTGTAAACTACTTATTAGCTTTACTGAGGGTAAAGGGTATTGTGGAGATGTGCTATTTGATGGAGGGGGGGGGGGGGTCTGCCTTAATTTTTGCTTCAAATCTTTAATTTGTGTTTGAATTGAAGATGGGGATGAATTTTCTAATAAATATTTGAGAATAAATCAAAAAATTTGCTAAAATTAATACCAAAAAACGATTTTTCTATTGTATGAAACGTTGAATTTAAAGAAATTCTGGTTATCGTCCCTGAAGTCAAATCCTTTTTTGGTTTACCCTGTAGTTATGTTTCCAGAGCTGAAAACTTAAGAATGAGATCCTTAATCCTGATCCATAGAGAATAGAATATATAGAGGAATTTACTAGAAAAAATTACAAAACGGCCATTTTGTTGTACTGTTTCCATACTGCAGGTGTACTTCACATATTTATGCTATATAACCTGTTGGGCCCTGGAATATCATTTTATAGAAAATCTAAAATTATTGTTAAAAGAAAACCAAATTATGAAATAGGCTGGTTTCATAATTGACCAATGATCATTTCACATAGACTCTATGCCTTCCACTTTACAAACGATGATTTTCCGTTATAACTATAAATCATATGATGTTTTTTATTCACCTTATTCATTTTATAAAGTTTATTTAACAGCTTTAAAAAATTCGAAATTGAAATGGATAGTCTAGGGAATATACTGTATTAATGTACTCTACTTCATTTAATTTGAACATTTACATGATTTTTTACACCTAAAACTCCCTTTCAGGCTGAAAGGGACTGAAAAAGTTCATACCGAGAGATTCTTTTAATTCCTCTATATATTCTATTCTCTATGTCCTGATCGCTTAATTTGAGTATCCAATGTACACACTTATGATTTTATTCTTAATCCTTTTTTTGGATATACCTACTGTATACAAGTTTCGTTTGATAGAAATTATAGATACGATGCTATATCGATTGAACTAATATCCAATGCACAATCCGGCTTTTAGAGCATTTAAACAAATATGAATTTAATTGTGTTAATATGAACCTATTAAAAAATATATTTTATCACGTTTTAAGACTCATCATTTTAAACGAGTATTAACAAATGTTAATCCAAAACTTACATTTATTTAATCAATGTTTAGTTTAATTGATATGACACAATTAACACCAGAAAAAAACGGGGTTTTCAAAAGTTTAAGAATACAGAGTTTCGGTAATAATTTTGATATCCATCATTCTAAAGTTTTCAGCTCAGGGGTATTAAGGATGAAAAATTTGCCATAATTTGGTTTACCCCAATTGTTTAAAATAATTATGCCCTCTTCCGCATATTAAATAACTTATTCAACAGTTATGTCAAAAGTTGTTTAATCTATGATGAAATTGTTTTGTACGTCAGTCTGATGGGTGCCTCACGGTAACCCGTACATATATAGACCTGAATGAAAAATGCTACCCTGAAATACTGCTGATATCTCGACAAAAACTTGTTTGATTTATAATAATTATTAAATATTCTTACTTTAGAAAACCCTTTGTGAATGTTACCCGTTGGTTCAACACTGTAGTAAACCAGCCTCATGCCAAGTCCGTGCTCGGCCCTGTTGTCCTCTGCACCAAAATGGCGGAATTTGACGCCAAGAAGTACGCCGAGTTCTCAGGTGAAATTACAGTGTTTTTAGGCAATATGGGGTTACATACATGTCTTGCACTTTGAATTCATTTAAGCGATCTAGCTCAAATTCAATTCGGGCACATTTTTGTCTTTGNTCGTTCAGAAACACCATGTAAGAGTTAAGCAAACCCTAATCGGAATCTATGCTGCTAGAATTTGTATAATAAGATGCCCAAAAGTCCTACCTAATGTTGCTTCAGCTATTGAATATTTCGACAATTGTTTACGTTTCTAACATGTTTCTTCCAAATGTAGAAATTAGTGTAAAGTTACATCAACTAGGGCTACTGACATTCTACTTGCACTTTATTTTTATTGATAATGCTGTAATTTAGTTGCTATTCCGTTCTAGAATGCCAATTCATTTTTTATTGTGGATTTTTAAGTATGTATGTAACCTTTAAAAGTTAAAATGATGATAAAACACAGACCTGTACTGATATCATTGATAGATAAACCATGCTCTACTGAAAATATTGAAATGTTCTTATTTTAATTTAATTTCCGGCCGGATGTTAAACTGTGTATTCTAGGAAAGGGAAAGAAGGACGATGGTAAGAAGAAGGAAGTAAAGAAGGAAGAGAAGAAACCAGAGAAGAAAAAGGAAGTTGAGGCAGACCCCGCAGGAGATGATGGTCTATCAAGTAAGCTGCAGAAATTTAACATCATGTTAGTCTTTAACGTGCACCTTAACATCATATTAGTCTTTAACGTGCACCCTAACATCATATTAGTCTTTAACGTGCACCTTAACATCCTATTAGTATTTAACGTGCACCTTAACATCATGTTAGTCTTTAACGTGCACCCTAACATCATATTAGTCTTTAACGTGCACCTTAACATCCTATTAGTCTTTAACGTGCACCTTAACATCATATTATTCTTTAACGTGCACCTTAACATCATATTAGTCTTTAACGTGCACCGAAAAATTGATCTCTTTTCCTCTAGTCAATATTTATTTTCTTCGGAGATCTGCAAAAGTAAAATAGTTACGGTCCAAGGGAGGGGAGAAACTATATTTAAAAAATTTAAACTCCTACTAAATCGTTGTCTGAAATTTTACTTCCATTGCCAATAATTAAGACTAGATGCGTCAACTGAAATTTTTTTTGAAATATGTTGAAATTCCAACAAATATAAAGACTATATTTGCCCAAGTTTAATATTGTAGACAAAATGCGTTCAAACGGGGAAAAACTTTAATAAAAATTTACAAATATCTTCCTCACTAAAATTCATTAATTTGTGTTTGTCAAATCGTAATATCATTGTGCCCGCATTTTTCAAGGAAAGGCATAAAATCATTTAAAAATTAAACTCCTTTACGGGACTGCAGCGTAATTTAAAGTATGAATTAGACATTCATGTTTTTGCTAGATATCTAGCGAATTTTTTACTTAAAACTATAATGGAAATAGTTTTTTTGATGTCAAGGTCCTAAACTCTGGCTTTGCGGTATTCAAGTTTTTTCAGTAGGTTTATTAATATATTTTAGTGCCCGCCAAGAAGCAGGATCCTCTTGACGCACTCCCCGCTGGATCATTCAACATGGATGAGTGGAAGAGGTAGTAGATAATAATCCCATTTTTCCTTTGAGTGATAATGAATCCCCTTTTCCTTCGAGTGATAATGAATCCCCTTTCTCCTTCGAGTGGCCTTATGATAAATTTCCAACAAAATAAAGAATTAAATTTTATACGTAATTTGTGACAACGATGTTTTTCAAGTTTAAATTTATATACGTTATTTAATAAATGGGTCATGCTTATCAACATATGTAATGTCTGCACTGGTTTGATCAAACTTATCATATTTATTTGAAATTATTTACAACTGTACTCTGTTACGTTGAAAGTTGTCAAATCGGTTTTGTTTACTTCCGAATTTATGCCACACAGAACAGAAGCCATCCAAGAAATTGCAAGAAAGGGGGCTTCTCGACCTAGTAATTCAAATAAAGTACGCAACCTAACTCAGGAATAATATACTTAATATCTTTATATTTCTAGGTTCTATTCCAACAATGACGAGGACCAAAGCATCAAATGGTTTTGGGAGAATTTTGATCCTGCACACTACTCTATCTGGAAGGTAAGAATGCTCCCTCATTCTTTTTTCTGCTATGATCTTTCTGCTAAAACTGAGATTTAAATGCTGAATAATTTGAACTTACTTGAAACAATTAATTTAAATTTAATTTATTTTTTTTTATTTTTTCAATGAGCGGTTATTCGTATGAATTTGTAACAACTTTGTCACCTTAATGCTGCAATTTTTTCTTATGCTGAAATCAACAAGTCTGATGGGTGCCTCACGGTAACCCGTACATATATTGACCTGATGGGTGCTTCACGGTAACCCGTACACATATATACCTGATGGGTGCCTCACGGTAACCCGTACACATATAGACCTGATGGGTGCCTCACGGTAACCCGTACACAGATAGACCTGATGGGTGCCTCACGGTAACCCGTACACATATAGACCTGATGGGTGCCTCACGGTAACCCGTACACATATATATCTGATGGGTGCCTCACGGTAACCCGTACACATATATACCTGATGGGTGCCTCACGGTAACCCGTACACATATAGACCTGAATGAACCGTTATTATTCTGAAAGCTGAAATAATTATAGTAAATTTAACTCACTTAATTTGTTATAAATGTCTTCATTTTTATAGTGTGATTACAAGTACAATGATGAACTGAAAATGGTATTCATGTCTAGCAATCTTATCGGAGGTAAGAATTAAATTTCATTCTGGAAGGTATTTTCTCTGCAGTTTTGCTTTTTGTTTTTCACATTTCGGAGCACCAGCTTGTCAAAATGTCTATATGGGGAACTCTTATGCAAGATATCAATTTTTAGCAAAAATATACACATGTTCCGTTGCTAGATCAAAATTGATTTTTATAACTTTCACTTATATAAATGTTATATCATATGTTCACATTTCGGAACCCCAGCTTACCGTTATGTTTGTATGGGTAACTCTAATGTGAGATATCAATGGTTTAGCAAAAATGTACACAGAAAGGTATAATTAATACTTACGTTCATTTGCTAGATCAACATTGATTTTTAGAACTTAAGCCTGAATAAATTTCATATGTTCACATTTCGGAACCCCAGCTTATCATAATGTCTGTATGGGGGAACTCTTAATGTGAGATATTAATGCTTTAGCAAAAATTTACATAAAGGTATACTTAATACTTATGTTCATTTGATAGATCAACATTGATTTTTAAAACTTATACTATATAAATGTTTTATGTTCACATTTCGGAACCCCAGCTTACCATTATGTTTGTATGGGTAACTCTAATGTGAGATATAAATGGTTTAGCAAAAATGTACACATAAAGGTATACTTAATACTTATGTTCATTTGCTAGATCAACATTGATTTTTAAAACTTAAACCTGAATAAATGTTTTATGTTCACATTTCGGAACCCCAGCTTACCATTATGTTTGTATGGGTAACTCTAATGTGAGATATCAATGGTTTAACAAATATATATAAAGATAGATTTAGTCTTTAAAATTCGTTAAATCAACACCTGTTTAAATATTTAAATGAATCAGATACGACATATTTTCTAATAATTCAGTGAATGAAACTCGAAAAGCTTATAAACATTCCCCCATGTGGCCCAGCCCCGGGCTTCATACATCAATGAAACATGATAGCTTACCAGGCCTTACCTAAACATGACCTTGTATCATTCAGTCAGAAAGGTTCTGACGGGCGAGATGTCTAACTCAATTCATGGTTTTAGAGTTGTCATAATAATGAAAATTGTGCTGATTGTACAGATTTTTTAAAAAAATGTACGGATCTTTAAAAAAATGTACGGATTGGTTTAAAAAAAATGTACGGATTGTACGGATTTTTTAAAAAAAAATTGTACGGATTGTTTTTCGAAAATTGTACGGATTGTACGGATTTCTTCTGAAAATGTACGGATTTTTGTACGGATGGGTTCAAAAAAGTTTTGGCCACCCTGAATATGAGCAAACTACTCATTTTCAGGCTCCTCTGGGATATCGTTTTCAGATTGTTTGCATAATTGTTGAATATGATTTGTTTAATGCTACGAATCTTGAAATCATACATATATACGTTTTGGTATAATTTTGACATAGTTTTATATCAATTTCTCGAGACAGGAACATCCGATAGATGTCTTGTATGTCTCAATCAACAACCAAGATTCTCAGGTTTCAGTCTATACCCCCTTTCATTTTTCCTTGACAGTCCCTTTAAGCTTGTATGAATTTATCGTTCAAGAAACAGGGTTACCCACATAATAAGAGACTGTAAAAACGACTTAAAACATAACAATCCCAAGGTTTAAAATAGTTTTAACGGCTTATTTAATGATTTGGCAAAGAAAGAAACCGTTAACAGTAGCGGGGAAGCATAAATAAAAGGGAACACCTAGATAAGTGTCTCGAGTCTCATCATTTGGGTAACCCTGTATTCACGCACCTCAGCTTTTTTAGTAAAAGTAAATTCAACAACCTTGTTGCACTGGTTAGTCCTGTCCATAGAGCTAGGTACAGTAAAACGGGGACCGGAAAGGTTGACCCGGCTCGGAAATTCAAATGTACTACGGCAGCCCGTGTATTCTCTTTTTTATGTAAAACCCCACGAACTTCAGCGATTTTTTTCTGGTTTTTGGCAACAGGTAAAGAAAAATGGTTCTTGTTTTTAAAACCGAATTTCTTATTTTGCTTTTGTGATAGAATGATGAAATTGTTTTGTACGTCAGTCTGATGGGTGCCTCACGGTAACCCGTATATATATAGACCTGAATGAAAAATGCTACCCTGACCATAACTTTAATTTCTTAATTCTAATTTTATTTAGAATTTTTTTCAACAATTTGTTTCAGGTGTTTTTGTCTGGAGAGGACAGGATCTAGCTTTCGAATTATCCGAGGATTGGCAGATTGACTACTCAAGCTACTCGTGAGTATTTTTTAAATATTTCAAATTATTTCCCCTTTTTAAAATAAATGGCGAGGATGGAGCCGGGTGTAAATATTAAACAGGTTTAAAAGAGTTTCCCATCGTATTTAAATTAAATTAGAAAATCAAGATAAGTAAGATTTATTTTGCATCTATTTTTATTCTATAAAAAAGTTGTGTCTACATCCAAACTTCAAAAAATGTATTTGAGTTGGTTCCTTTTGTGCCTACATCCTAACATTAAAAATGGTATTTGAGGTGGTTATCTTTTGTGTAACATCCTCACTTTGAAAAATTGTATTTGAGGTGGTTATCTTTTGTGCCTACATCTTAACTTTGAAAAATTGTATTTGAGGTGGTTATCTTTTGTGTAACATCCTAACATTGAAAAATTGTATTTGAGGTGGTTATCTTTTGTGCCTACATCCTAACTTTGAAAAATTGTATTTGAGGTGGTAATCTTTGTGTCTACATCCTCACTTTGATAAAAATTGTACCCTAGGTGGTTATCTTTTCTCTCTCCCAGTCGTTCTTAAATCTATATTTATATTTTGTTTTAATCCATCAATTGAGCTCGCAGATAAATCCCTCTTTGAAAAGGAGTCTTTTATTCTCAAAATTTAGTCTTTTTTGATGAATTTTCACAACTTTTTGCTATAATTTTGTAATTGTTTTAACCCTGGTCGACATTCTTGCTGAAATTTAAAGTGGTTATCTGTTGACTTAGATTTTTTACAAATAGGCTTAATATATAAATTGAATATTTTGTATTTGTTTAGTACCCAGATTTGTTGTGTTTATTTAATGCCGATTTTTTAGGAAATAACTGATCGTGTCAGCAGCTAGATTTTTGTATTTTATTCTTAATTCAAGCATAATTAAATCTATGTTTGTATTTAGCTGGAAGAAGTTGGACCCTGCTAGTGATGAAACTAAGAAGCTTGTGACCCAATACTGGAAGTGGGAGGGAGAAGATGAACAGGGCAGGAAGTTTAACCAGGGCAAGATCCTCAAGTAAATGTGCGAGATGTTATCTACGCTGTGCTTCAGCGTAACTATGGAATGCCTCAACCATCTATGGGTTTTCTAAGTCCTTAATCCTGTGTTCTTCGCCATCTGGTGAATTAAATAAATAAATAGAACAGATTTATGATTATAACTTTCTATTGGAGAGATCGAATGTTATTTTAAAGGCCATCAGTGGATTGTGACTTGTGAGTTATTACGTTAAGCCAATGAGTTGTGTAATTGAAAGAGACGTACGTTTTTTGATCCTTGGCGAAAATAGCCAAAATTCCCGAGATAGATAATCGTTATAGCTAGCTGACGCAGCAAGTTTTGATCCGGGGGCTCTTTCCTGTGATCCGATTTCACTAGACGATAGTTCTTTCCCAAGTCTAGAACAGTTCAAAGAACACTTCTTTTAAAATTATTTGTGTTTTTTTTTATTAAGTAACACTCCTATTGTCAATCTTGTCAAGCCATGCTTCCCATCATAACTGCGCTAGCAGTAGTGTCATTTCTATCTTTCTATGGTAAACAAAACATTCTAAGAGTAGGAACAAAATTCCAATATACTTCCGGATAAGATTTTTGTTCTCGTGCTGTCTAGATTAAAAAGGAGTGTATTTTGGTCAAAAAATGGAATTCATTGCTAGGGAAGGCGACCTACCCTCAAAACATTTAATTTTCATATTGCTGTAATTTAGTGATGAAACTTTAAAGTTTATTTCCCCTAATTCAGTTAGATCTATTAAACTCTGCCTAAAGAAAAGCACTTGGTAAAACAGTATGCGTGCAGTTTAAACAGACCTATTTTACTTAAGTGATCTTTTACTATTACAAAGACCTTTTGCTTTGAAACACATAAAAATCTATCTGAAGCATTGACTAAAAGTCGTCTTCCTTTGAATTTATGCTTGGAAAAGGTAATTCAATTGCTAACATTTCCAAGAAGAATAGTTTCTATTCTATCTAAACAGTTCGTTTGAGAAAAGTTCATAAATGGCCGATTTCTTAAACGTTCTACCATAGGTAGAACCATAGTCACAAAATGGTTACGCTTTGCCAGAGAAGTGCAGTATACGTATCCTATAGTTAAACCTATGGTAACATGTATGAAATTAGCGAAAAATCGGACTACTTCCTAAGTTCAGTTGTAATAAAATTTACAAGAAAAAATTAATCCACATGAATATATTTTTGTGGTTATAGTTCAATCATGGCACAAAAGTGTTCGATGACAATTGTCTACTATAGTAAGTGTCCAATCGAAATATGTGTATGTTCTTGCCACTTAATCTCTGATTAGCTTATTTCTAATTATCTTTGAAACCTGAATGTCGTTGCAAATTAAGACTCAATTTCTGTATAGTAGGAAACTGAAAACTTAATTTATTTAAAAAATTATATCAAGGCTCCCCATTTCATTTATTCAAAAATAGCAAGCTGTATATTAAAAAGAAATCTTTATAGCGAGAAACTAGATCCCCGTCTTAGAACAGAGAGAGACACGTTACAAAATGTTGATTTCCGAAGCGACGTATTTCATACAATTGTACTTATAGATAATAAATGACTTATACAACTCATACAACCCTCCAACCTCCATTTTTAAATAGGCCTCTTTGTATAGTATAACCTGGATATGTACTCAAAGAAAATGTCTGGACTCAGCTGGCATATAAAAACAATTCGCGTACTTAAAATAATTTCAATGAAAATTTGAAAAAAATTCCCAATAATGTTAATTTGTATTATGATCTATTGATATTTCAGATATTAAACAATTGAGGTATTTGATAGTTCAGCCCACGGTAGTTCAGACAGTGTAGCATCATCCTCAAATTCTGAAGTCTGCGCATGTGCCGCTGAGAGATTCAGAAAGTACGCATTTTAAATACGCAGTGTCAAACTTGAATTGCCGCTATAAAACCTGAACCAAGACAATAGTACAGAAAATGCGGGAAGCAGATCAGGCACTTTTCCCTCTTGTTAATGTGGGCAGAGTGGTTCAGTTGTTCAGGTAAAAGTATAAAATGACACATTTAAGTGTCAAGTCGTCGATCATATTTTAAATTGAGTAACGTGAACTATTGGACATATTTCTGTTAAAGGGACCATGGAAGCGAAGATGGCAATGCCCGATTCACACGGGGACCTTTAAGCAATTTGGAAAATATTGTCCTATAATTTTTTAGGTTGAAAGTACTTTAACTGTTATAAATAAAGCATATCGTCACTTTGCATGGAGGCGCACTTGAAACTATGCCTATTGCCTACAGTCCCTTTAATAAGAAAAACTTCATTTTTGTTGGCGTCAAAAATTGTTGTGAAAATGTTGTGTTATCTTTATTTGTATTTGTCAAGCAAGTTATTTAATTTTAGGTGTATTTTTGAAATTTAAGGGTTATTTACGTGTACGGGGTCTCCGTCCTAGTACGTGATTTTTGGAAAGAATAGCTATGTAACCCAATTGATCAGCCAATGGTTTAAAAGCTTCCGTTGTAAATAGGACATGTCATTTGATTTAAAAGTTGGGTCACATAAATCACGTCTACGTCCATTTAATTACAAAAATTTTATAGGCAACAGCTTTGTGGAAAAGAGCAGCCAGATCTTGTCTTGTTGTCAATTGTTGCTGGAGCAGTGGAGCATTCATTAACAGCGTCTAGAGCTACCTCTCCTAAACTTCAAAAGGTAGCAGCTTCATTTAATTATTAACAAATTTAAGGATTATTCTTATTTGACTGGACCCTCTCCCCTCCCGCCTCCTGTTGATCCTACAATTTTGAGACATGAGATAAATTTAATAAACTAGGGTTTTAGGGTGGTTCGCAATCGCTTCCCCTTTACTATTTAAATAATATTATCTTTTAATGGTTGCTCTGGAAGTCGCAATTAAAAATAATTTTCTAATTTCGGCGGATTTTTTTCAAGGAGTTTTTTTCTCCAATTTTGATGTTCCATAAATCTTTCCTGGGGTCATGTGAGGTCCCACACAAAATTTTGGCCTGATCGGTTCAGCCGTTTTGGCGTTTATTGGATACAGAAAGACATACAAGCAATGTATTATGTATATTTATTCAATAAATTGATAAATAATGCACCAAATAGAAATATGTTTCCTCAAATCATTAGCTAAATTTCGCTAATCTAGGCTTAAGGCCGCTTAAGAAAATTTTCTCTTTTCATAAATTGTAAAACAAAAATGAACCAAAACTTGGCGGATTTAATAAATAAATCGTGCATTTTCTAAATTTTCAAACATCGATTTTGTTGAAGGCAAATTTTTGAAAATTCGATCATTCAGGTTTCTTGAGGTCCCACAAAAAAGTGGGGCCCGTTTTGACGTTTATTGGATACAAACACACAAACAGACAGACAAACAGACATACAAGCAAAGTATATATAGATACAGAGGACTCATTTCTCAAAGAGGTTCTAACAGCCGGGAATGTTATATCCGGATCGCGATTATATTTTCTGATATTTTTGTTTTTTAGGATTCTGGTTCTGATGACGAGTATGAAGTTGAGGTATAATCTTTTGAAATAAAACTAGGCTTTCAGGGCGCTTGGCGCTCATTTTCTATTGCTAATTTTGTTGTGAGCATCTGTGAAGAAAAAAAAATTCGCGGATTTTTCATTTTTTTCATGGATTTTTAACAAAAATCAAAAGTTGAGATTAATTTGTAAAACTGTGAGCATTCATAAACCTTCCCTAGGGTCATGTGAGGTTCCAAAATAAATTTGGACCCGATCGGATCGTTACGACGTTTATTGGATATATATATATGTAGTATTTAAATTTTAAATCTTTAAGATGATGTCTTATACGTCATTTTCTTCGGCCAAAAACTATATCTCAAAGAAATGACTAAAAGATTGAAAAGAAGTATAAGAAGTAATTAAACAATAAACATAAAGGATGTCAAAAATCAATATGATTTAAAATGTTTTTTTTTTGTCCAATTACTTTTTTCGCACACCTACAAACCTTCTTAGCTAAATACCTAGCGACCTACCTACCTACCTACCTACCTACCTACCTACCTATCTACCTAGGAGACTGCGGATGTCTGTAATCTGAAACTTGAACCAGCAATATCTTATGTCCAGGTGTCAGCACTTTACCAAAAGTATATCGCAGGTATATCTACTCTTAAAGAATAATTTTATGATTTAAAAAATGATAAGTAGTTATGGAAAGAGATGAATTCTTTTTGGACAAGAGCGACATTTTTGTTTTGATTGTGCTTTGAAGCCCCTTAGCTTAATAATTAATAATAACTAATTTTTAGAAGAAGATAAGTAAATTTTTACTCTCCTATCAGTCCCAATTTTTTTTTCTCGGTTAGATCACTGCAGTAGATATTGAAAGTCACACACCGACCTTAAAAATGTATAAAAATATACACCCTAGACCTAAAATTTGTTAGGTTAAAAAGCTGTGAATAGTCCTTTAACATTTTAAAAGCTTTTAGATAAATTTATTGATATTAAAATTTAGAGCCCATTTTAATCTAATTTAGATATTTATTTGAAAGTTGGAATGTGCCTGTTATATTGCATATCCAGTCAGAGAAAATTAAATTTAGATGCGAAAGTATTTTTAACAAATTGAATAAAACTATTTTTGTTGTTTTAGTGATCAAAGGATACTGTGATCTGTCTCTATTCCCGGTAAGTTTAGCTTTACAATAGATATTTTTTATATTTAGATATATGGGACTGTACTTGCGTAATTTCTAAAGAGAGACTCCATGCAAAGATGGCAATGCCCGATTTAGAACGGTAGTAAAGCCATAATCGGATCATAAATGAGGAAGATACCGTCGTTTTTCTGACTTGAAAAAGTGTTATTTTCTGTGTATTTCTCCGTTGCTACTTATAAACAAGAAATGCGTGCAAGTCACTTTCGCAGAGATACAGCAAGTAAAATCAAACAGTTTATAGAAACAAAAACATTGAAATCTAATTCATACTTGATCAGACAAAACTTTCAAGGGTACCGTTGTAAATCTGACATTGTCATCCATGCATGGAGAGTCACTTGAAACCAAAGTAAGGTGAGGCAATAAGAGAATTTTGTACTCAGAATACACCAAATTCTAGGCAATAAGAGAATATTGTACTCAGAATACACCAAATTCGAGGCAATAAGAGAATGTTGTGCTCAGAATACACCATATTCGACGCAATAAGAGGATGTTGTGCTCAGAATACACCAAATTTGAGGCAATAAGAGAATTTTGTACTCAGAATATCCTTGTTAGAGGCAATAGGAGAATTTTGTACTCAGAATACACCAAATTTGTTAAATCACAATGAACTCAGTTTCGTTGGCTGTACTAATTTATAGTGGTTGTTTGTCAACAAACGCATCCGAAACTGGACTTGAACCGAAACATACAATTGAACCTAGTATTTTAAGATAGGTAATAAAAGGACAAACAGACAGACAAGGGAAATATATTTAAATAGATCTGCGTTGAAAAAGAATTAGAGCCCCCACTCCCTTTAACTGCCTTCTTTGCATGGCCTGCTCCCCCCACTATGTTCATGTCGAAACTGTAGATATCGTTTCGACATTAGCATAATTAGATTGTTTGTAATCAGACTGCTAAACCAGTTTTTAGCCACACCGAAAGCGAGTATATCGTCTATTTCTGGCCCACCGTTGCTTGAAACTATACTTACTTACTTGATGTTGATATCTTGTTGCAGGATGCTGGGGAGTTTGCTACCAAGGATCTAATTAAACTATATATTAAATGATGTTGATATCTTGTTGCAGGATGCTGGGGAGTTTGCTACCAAGGATCTAATTAAACTATATATTAAATGATGTTGATATCTTGTTGCAGGATGCTGGGGAGTTTGCTACCAAGGATCTAATTAAACTATATATTAAATGATGTTGATATCTTGTTGCAGGATGCTGGGGAGTTTGCTACCAAGGATCTAATTAAACTATATATTAAATGATGTTGATATCTTGTTGCAGGATGCTGGGGAGTTTGCTACCAAGGATCTAATTAAACTATATATTAAATGATGTTGATATCTTGTTGCAGGATGCTGGGGAGTTTGCTACCAAGGATCTAATTAAACTATATATTAAATGATGTTGATATCTTGTTGCAGGATGCTGGGGAGTTTGCTACCAAGGATCTAATTAAACGAGTATCAGATATTTTGTGGAATACGCTTAGGAATATATCTAAAATTAATAATAGTAGAAGTATAAGCTTGGGTCAGAACTTTTGCACTTTATATTTGTAGCGATCAAAAGCTAATTTCGTGGGGGGGGGGGGGGGGGGGGGGGGGTAGGTTGGAAGGGCTTGAAAATATGTACCTCTGGCACTGATTCTGAAAAAGAATTTTTATAAAAGCCTTAACTATTAGATTGATATTAATTAATCCCTTTAACAAATAGGAACTAAATGTTCTGTACCTAAAGTTACTTGTTGAGGAAAACAACCGAATATCCGCCATGACTTAATTTATTTCGTCTTCTCCCATTTTTAATTCTATCTTCTTGGTACATTTTTTAAAGTTTCTAATTGGATTTATTAATCATTAACACTCAATCCTAAAAACATTTATTTTACAAGGCTTAAAAAGAGGTTTAATTTTTTTTTACTATTTTAACTTTTCAAAATTATTTTGTTATACACTATTTTGATCAATTTATAATTTGATAAATATTTTTAAATCATGACAAAAATAATAATAATTTTCAGGTTTGTATGAGACGTTTCTAAAAAAATGGGAAGTTTTAAATGCTATGTTCTGATAAAATGTATGCTCTTTTCCAACGAGCAAAAAGTTAACTCAGACAGGTCTTTCCGATTTTTTAAATTGTTTTTTATTAGTTTTCAGCAAGTAGAGTAATAGTATATATTATAGAATAAACACATGAAGAAAAATTTTCCTATTATTAAAACCTAGCTTGGGAACCCGACGCTGCCAACGTTAATAAAATTTACTCCCGCCGTTAACCCGCACTTGAACGATTTTACCGGGAAACTAAATTTTCGTTATTAAAGTCGGCCCACTCAACTGACAGACAGACAAACAGAGATTACAACTTTAATCTCTTGTAGATATCCGGGGGGGGGGGGTGTTTAGAAAGATATATCCCTGTTCCTTTCACGAGCCCTCCTTTTCTATAGAAATTTATTTTGGATTATTGTTTAGTAAAGACAAGATCAAAGATAGAACTCATATATCTAATATATTCAGTTATGTGACAGGTAACCAAAACCAAATAAATTTTATCTTAGATGGGATCTGAATAAAACTTTTAGTATCTTGACTTAAAAAATGTTAATTGACATGATGGGTGGGTTGATTTGGATCATTTAATGATTAATTGATATGATGGTTGATTTGGATCATTTACTGATTAATTGATATGATGGTTGATTTGGATCATTTATTGATTAATTGATATGATGGTTGATTTGGATTATTTACTGATTAATTGATATGATGGTTGATTTGGATCATTTATTTATTAATTGATATGATGGTTGTATTGGATCATTTATTGATTAATTGATATGATGGTTGATTTGGGTCATTTATTGTTTAATTGATATGATGGTTGATTTGGATCATTACTGATTAATTGATATGCTGGGTGGGTTGATTTGGATCATTTATTGATTAATTGATATGATGGTTGATTTGGGTCATTTATTGATTAATTGATATGATGGTTGTATTGGATCATTTATTGATTAATTGATATGATGGTTGATTTGGATCATTTATTGATTAATTGATATGATGGTTGATTTGGATCATTTATTG